TCTCTCCTCTCTCTCTCTCTCTCTCTCTCTCTCTCTCTCTCTCTCTCTCTCTCTCTCTCTCTCTCTCTCTCTCTCTCTCTCTCTCTCTCCCCCTAGCCTTCTGACCTAGCCAGCCTGCGGCCTGTTTATTCAGCATTTTCCACCTCCGCCCTTCGACCTTTATGTTCTTTTGTAAATTTGTACATTTTCCATAACATCCAGTATTAAAGAAACCTACGAAAATGAAAACGAAAACAAAACTAAATCAAAAGGTTTAATCTCAACGATTCTATGCTTGCGAGGCCGCTGCCTCTATGAGCCCCATAAGGCCCCATTTTGCACCCCGTCGGCCGCCCTAAGTGAAGGCAGGCTCGACGAGGCCCTCAGGGCCCTTCTCTGGCCACCATGCAACTCAGGGAAATTCAGGCAGTTGCACAGTGCCAGTTGGTTGAGTGAACCCAGGCCCTGGGCCGCCTGTGTGAATGTATGTGAAGCAGGCCCTGGGCTGGATACGGGTACCGGGCCAAACACAGGCCGAAGGCAGTTGGGCACATGCAACCACCTCAGGCCCAAGGCCTGTTCTCGTCGTGCTGGGCCTCAGGTTACCGGGGCCTGCCTCCTCATTCGGCATTGGGGTGCTGGCTGCGTCCTGCGCAAGCGCTGCTGCACTATTTGCTGGCTGGCGCCTACGCTCTCACGGGCAAGCAGGGAAGGAGCACGCAGCCATAGCCGAGCTTCGCTGCTGTAAGCTGGGTGAGGCGCAGGGTGGTCCTTGGGTGCTAGTGGCATCTGTGAGTTGGGGAACGAGGTTGTGAGTGTAGTGCGAGACATACCTGGTGCTGGAAGCATGCGACATTGGTCGCCATATGCTCGTACTTCGGGAATGCTGTTGACGTCATCTTTCGGCTTCGTAGTATAGGCTAGATAGGATCTGCCACATGTAGTCTGGGCGCCGAGCGCCAGATAGGATATCAACTCTGGTTCTTCGTTCAGGATGATGGGACTATTTCAGAATTGTCAATTATGAACTCTTGGTGTGTTCTTATTTGGTGAATCTCGTGATGCAATTCGGCTGTTGGTTCGAGGTCACAACTATCTGGAGTCTGGACTCATATGTATGATGCTGTTTGATTGCTGAAGTTCGCCATTGCTCATCTTCCTTGCAATTTGGTATCGGAGTTGTGGTACGATTGCGCTCATCTGGCGCTTGTCTTCTGCCTTATGCGGTACATACATGCGGTCTGCTGGGCGAGTTTGGCCGTAACTGGTGTGTAGTGAGGAGGGTGGAGACGAGTGTATAGGCGACCAAGGAGGTGAGGGGATCGCCAAGAAGGCTACGTGGGTTGTACTGTGGTCTGGAAAGTGTGATGCGAACTATCTAATGTGCGATTGATGTTGAGGTGGAACAGCGAGATAATGCTGGTTGTGCCGATGCAGGGACTGGTCATCGCAATCGCCATTTGGTCATCTGGTGAGATTATCTCTGTGGTTGGGGGCAGCTATTTGAGGTACGTTGCTCTTAACCTTATCTACTCTCTCCGACACTTCCTACTGTGAGGTTGTGTGTTCCTTCTTGAGAGTCCTCTCATTGTGAGGTGTCGAGTGCGCTCAACCTTGAGAGTCGGCAATGTTTACGTGGAGCATCTGGGAGAAGATGGGTGAAACTTTCTGAAGGGCCCTGGACGAAGCATGGGTCACGGCCACCATGCCAACCCACAGGGAGTAGAGCACGCATGCCTTGCTGCTTGTGCTTTGTTTGGCTTGCTGCGCTGTTAGATGGGTACTGTTGGGCAGGCCTGCCCTTGAGGGGGACGAGACCGGGCGTCTTTAAATAAGCACCGAAAGGGGAACCATTGGCTGTGATCGCCGTCCGGCTGCGACGTAAAAGAATTCCTGGAGTCACTTGGGGGCGGACGTAAAATTGCCTCTGGATCAGCCAATGGTTGTAAGGCTCGCTGCACACGAGGATAATCCAGTGCAGGGCTGGCCAGCTCAGCAGATTACTCGGGGCACAGGGGTGGGCCGGACACACACCTTTAGACACGTGACGCTCTCCAGATTGCTCAGTGACGCTGACGTCACGTGATACTCAGGGGAGCTAAGGGAGGGGTTGATTCCATGTGATAAGTTTGAGAAAATTCCATGCTGTCCTATCCACACAAATGACTCTATTTTTATGTTTTGATTAGTTAGGTGTACAACCATTGACATCTCACAGACAGCATTAGTTAGAACTGTTTATTGTTCCTGGTGCTTCTGTTTGCGGACTAGTCGGACTAAAAATAGTTTTGTTTGTAGGAATCTGGACTTACCTATTAGAACCCGAATGTATCTGCTCGGAAATGACCACCAGGTAAGTATTTATTTATTTTAAATTGGTCTGTGCACTTTGTTGCGGTAGGCATCTTGAATGTCCTAGTGTAGACGGCGCACAGTGCTGTAGCATATGAGCGACAGGGAGGACACACCACCGGACGACCGGATCTTGCGATCAGCTAGACGCCTGATAGCCCACGTGTCCCTAGGACCGGAGGGTGATAGGATTCTGTTCCGCCAGCTTAGGGAGAGGCAGCAGCAACAGAGGAGAGTTAGAGCAACCGAGGCCAGCAGGGCTTTCGCTAGCGAGGCCGCTCGTACAACAGCAATGGTCACTTCCGCTATGGTCACTTCTGGGCAGCAGACTTCCTAGGCCAGCAGTTCAGGTATCGTCGGGTCAACGGTCGCGCAGACCGTGAGTCAGTCCACTGGCCTTATGGCAAGCTAGGCAGCAGTGTTGACCCCAGAGGATGTCGCCATCCAGCAGGCAGCCCTGCAGAAGGCACAGTTACAACATGCATTAGGGCAGATAAAAGCGGAGAAGGAGAAGATAATTAGAAGAAGAGCCAGGATGCAGCGGAGAGGGCCAGACATAGAGGAGTTAGACACGATGGACCTGGCGAACATGGATGATGATGTGAGGGTAGTTAGGAGGGCCCTGCTACGAGTAATAGAGATGCACGAGCATCAGACTACCATCCTTCAGGATATCCAACAGAGCCTAGCCATTCTGGCAGGGCGTGCTCAGGCGGCACCATCACCGTCCGGGCCTGGTGCTTGGCCTGTGCCATATCCTCCTTTTTCTGTCCCACCGGTGACAGACGTATTCCCATATGTAGCCCTGTCATCGGTTGCGATCGTTTCCCTGGGCATGCCGCTGTCAGGAGGGGTATCAGCAGGGACAAGTTTACAGGTTCCTGTTCAGACAGTGTTCACCCAAACTCCGTCGCAGGTTGTAGTCACCACGCAGCCTGCTGTCTCGCAGCCTGTGCAGCCGCAGGGCACACAGCCCCAGCAGCTGGCACAGCAACCTGTGTCACAGGGTCCACAGCCCGTAGTGATGCAGGGACCGGGACAGACACAGTGGGTTCCAAAGACGGCCATCGCCGCTCCCAAACCTTTCACAGGGGATAAGAGGGGCGAAAACGTCGACACGTGGTTGAGGGCAGTGCCGGTCTACGTCAGGTGTAAACTTACCTTGCCGCACGAAGAAGTGCTTGTGGCTGCTTCCTACCTAGAGGGTAGTGCAGCAAGATGGTTGAGTGGTTTGGTGCAACTCCAGGGGTATGGTCATGACTTCCGCGCTTGGGCGGCCTCCCAAAAATTGGAGGACTTTTTGAAGATAGTGGAAGAAAGGTGGCATGATCCTCGGGAGGCCCAAAGGGCCACTGATGCAATTCTGACAGTACACACGCGGTAGTTCAAGTCAGTAAGGGAAGCCACCGACGTTGTTGAGCGCTTGATCTGTGTCCCAGGGATGCGCTATGACCCCCAGGTCCCGCTTACCTCGTACTTGAGATGTTTTTCTCAGCCTCTCAGGAACCAGTTGGCAAGAGAGGCCAACATCAATATGCACAACTTTCCTTCGTTCAGCAAGATGGCCCTAGACCTCGAGGCTAAGATGGGGCATGGACAGACACCCACTACGGAGAGTACGGAAGGGAGGAAGAAGACACTGCCTCCTAACTGGAAGGCGAAGGGTCGCTTAATGTTTGTCGATAATGATGGTTCTACTATCGAAGTAGACGAATACTTCCAAGAGGGAATAGTAGGTTCAGAGGCGGGCAGCGTAGAAACTTCAGAGGGTGKAGTAGTCGCTGTCGTAGCTCAAAAAGGAAAGGTGACCGGTAGACGCCATGCAGGTTCCCGGTCTAGGAGTCAAGTTGACCCCAATTCTCCTCCACGGGAGAAAGCGGGTCTTACAAAGGACTTGTGGAGAGATCGTTACTCACGGCAGGCCTGTATTCGTTGTGGTCAATATGGCCACAACCAACTCAAGTTCTGCAATAAGAAAGTGACAGAAAATATCCCGCCTACGATGGGGCAGGTGTTGGGATCCTCTCATCCCGTTGGTAGCAATGTTGCCAGTACTTCAGGCAGTGCTCCGAGAAACACGTCGGGCCAGTAGGAATAGTAGCTGTTCCTGCTAGGGTCGAGGTGGTGGAGACACCCTCACCATCTCGAGAGATGACCCAAGCTACTGATTCCAGCGTCGTCCCGCAAACACGTTCAGACCCATCGAACCATTGTTCTATGTATGTGTTTGAGTCCTTAGAGGAGCTAGGGGTGGAGTGGTCTAGATCAGACCCACTAGCTTCTTAGACGGCCCTAGTTAAAGCCCCTAAGGGTGAGATGTTCGTCAGCGAGGTTGTCATTGGCGGTCGCAAGACCGAGGCCTATTATGACACTTGCTCGACACGGAACTTTATAAGTCGCGCGTGCGTTGAGAGGCTGCGTTTACAAGGGCAAGTGCAGCGCCTTAGTCGACCTGTGGAGTCGACCTGTGCCAACAAACAGCGCATGGTAGTCAATGACTACCTCCTGGATGTTGAGTGTTGTTTCCTGTATGCGGGAGGGGACTTGAGACATCGTGTCTCGTTCCTAGTAAGTGACGAGCTCGCAATGGATATGTTACTAGGTATGTACTACCTCTCTGTGGCACAACCCCAGTTTGACTGGGACTGAAAAGTGGTCAAACACACTTTGCCAGGTGGAGGGACCGCGAGATTACATAAGTTCAAAACTAGTAGTCTGATTGAGTCCTATGGGTGCATGTGTGCGGCCACGTTCTACAATTATTACAAGCAAAATCAGTTGGAGGGTATGTACTTAGTTTATGTCTCTGCTGCAGGCGAGCCGGTGAAAATGCCGTCGGAGACAGAGGGAGTAGTTGCCAATTACTCTGATCTATTTGAAGAGCCGATAGGGGTTGTAGAGAGGGAGGTCGTCCACGAGATAGAGATTATGCTAGGGTCTAGTATCCCGAAAGGTAGGATCTATCGGATGTCTCCAGGCGAGCTTGATGAGCTTCGCCGACAACTCGAGGAACTCATAGAGAAGGGTTGTATCCGGTCGAGTGTCTCTCCTTATGGGTCTCTAGTTTTATTCGTACCTAAGAAGAAGGATGATACTCTTAGGATGTGCATTGACTATAGGGGCCTCAATGCCATCACTGTAAAGAAGAAAAAGCCCCTACAGCGCATCGATGATCTGTTAGATAGAGTGCAAGGGTGTCGGTACTTCAGTAAGATAGATATGAAGTCCGGGTACCATCAGATTGCAATCCAGCCCGAGGATCAGCACAAAACTGCTTTCCAGACCAGGTACGGTCTGTACGAGTTTGTGGTGATGCCTTTTGGCCTTTGCAATGCTCCTGGCACCTTTCAGCACGTTATGAATCGGATATTCCATGACTACTTGGATAAGTTTGTCATCGTGTACCTCGATGACATACTTATTTTTAGTAAGACTGTCGAGGAGCACATTGCACATTTGGACAAAGTCCTCAGCCTCCTGCGACAGCACAAGTTCAAGATCAACGGTGAGAAGTGCGAGTTTGGCCGCACCCGTGTCTTGTACTTGGGTCATGAGATCTCCGCGGAAGGGTTGAAGCCGGATGACGCGAAGGTGACCAKCATTCGTGATTGGCCACGTCCTCAGTCTGTGACAGAGATGAGATCTTTGTTAGGAATGACAGGCTACTATAGGACTTTCGTTAAGAACTATAGTATAGTGGCCGCTCCTTTGACTGATCTGACGCGCCTTGACACCCCATGGGAGTGGACAGACGAGTGCGAGGCTGCTTTCAGACATCTGAAGCATGCGTTGATGCACTAGGAGGTCTTGAAACTTCCTGATCCTGATAAGCCATTTATAGTCACCACGGATGCTAGCCAATATGGCATTGGCGTCGTGCTCGCGCAGCAGGAGGGGCCAAAGTTGAGGCATGTAGAGTACATGTCCATGAAAATGCCGTCTCAGAAGTTGGCTAAGTCCACCTATGAGAAGGAACTCTATGCGGTTTACAAGGCTCTGACCCATTGGAGGCATTATCTCCTTGGGAGGTTTTTCATCCTCATGACTGATCATCAGACCCTGAGATGGATAAAAACTCAGCCTGTACTCTATGACGCTCTCAAGCGTTGGATCGAAGTTATTGAGCAATATGACTTTGACCATCAGTATCTGAAAGGGGAGTACAACAAGGTTGCTGATGCCTTGTTGCGTAGACCTGATTTCTCAGGTGCACTTATTACTAAGTTCAATCTGACGGACAGTGTTACTCAGTCGGAAGCCTATCGCGAGGACCAGTTTATGTCTGAGATCATACGCAGACTCGAGGCGAAGGACAAGAAGACCTCCGCCGAGTTTGAATTGGTCAATGGCGTGTTGTTCCTTGAGAAGGCAGGGAATAAACGATTGTGTGCACTATCCCTAATAGTGAGTCTCTGCGTAGTTTATTTTTAGGTGAGTGCCATGATGCCACCGACCATTTTGGGTATAAGAAGACCGCAGCCAATCTGCTGCAGCGGTTCTGGTGGCCCACGATGATGCGAGATGCCCAGCTGTACGTGGAGACTTGTCAAGTTTGTCAAAGGGACAAGCCACGTACTTAGACTCCTCTTGGGCTTTTGAAGCCCCTTCCGATTCTGGAACGGCCTAGTGAGAGTCTGTCCATGGATTTCATGGATACTCTAATCACTGGCAAGAGCGGTATGCGTCACATCTTCGTCATCGTGGACAAATTTAGTAAGTATGCTAGGTTAGTAGCCATGTCGGAAACAGCAAAGACGGAGAACGTGATCCGAATGCTCAAAGGGAACTGGGTTAGAGACTTTGGTTTACCGAAGTCTATTGTCAGTGACAGGGATGTCAGGTTTACCAGCGAGTTGTGGAAGACCGCTGCTGCAGAGCAGTGCAGAGCAGGGCACTAAGTTGCAGATGACTTTTGGGAATCATTCAGAGGCCAATGGACAGGCCGAGCAACTGAACCGCGTTATACAACACCTGTTGAGGCACTACATCAAGCCCAACCAGGTAGACTAGGATGAGAAGCTTGCTCTCATCTCCAGCTTGTATAACAACGTTGTACACAGTGCCACGGGGGTGAGCCCAAATAGCTTACTGCTAACATTTAAGCCGAGACTTCCCCTAGACTTCCTTCTCTTGAATAATCAATCCACTACTGCACCATGTACCTTAGAATTTGCATATCGCTATGAACAGAAGATGCAGCAGGCTGTAGAACAGATGCAGAAGGTGCAGGCTGCAATGATAGAGTCTGAAAATGGACACCAACGACCTTCTAAATTTCAGGTTGGAGAGAGTGTTTGGGTTAAGTCTTCAGAATTGCGTCAGGACCACGGGATCTCCCGCAAACTCATGCCCAGTACTTTGGACTCTGGGAAGTCTTGGACATCGTCGGGACGGATCCCGATGGGCCATCTTATGTTATTCGGATCCCGGGTCATCTCCGTACTTACCCTGTCTTTCACGCCTCCAAGCTGGCACCTTTCAAAGCGACTGATCAATTTCCATCTCGCTGCTCAATGCTGCCCCCAACCATGGATGGAGAGGTGGACATCGACGACATCGTGGATCACAGAGAGCTGTCGGTATCAAGGCCAGCAGGCAGGGGACGTCCTCCGAAACTGAAGCTACAGTACCGTGTTTGGTTCCGTCATCACACTGATCCGAAGGAGGACCGCTGGTTCACCAGGGAAGAACTCATGCAGACCGCTCCTCAAGTTGTAGCCCAATACGAGTACGAGAGATCTCTGCACAAGGGAAAGCGCCCGATGGTTGAAGACTGAGCTTCTCAGAGGACTGTTATAGCTAAGGAGGAGGGAATGCGAGACCACTGCCTCTATGAGCCCCATAAGGCCCCATTTTTGCACCCCGTCGGCCGCCCTAAGTGAAGGCAGGCTCGACGAGGCCCTCAGGGCCCTTCTCTGGCCACCACGCAACTCAAGGAAATTCAGGCAGTTGCGCAACGCCAGTTGGTTGAGTGAACCCAGGCCCTGGGCCACCTGTGTGAATGTAGGGCTTGCTGGATATGGGTACCGGGCCAAACACAGGCCGAAGGCAGTTGGGCACATGCAACCACCTCAGGCCCAAGGCCTGTTCTCGTTGTGCTGGGCCTCAGGCTATCGGGGCCTACTGGAAGTTTCCTGGGACTGGACGCAGGCAGGCCACTTTGATATAGGAAAGGGCCTGCCTCCTCATTCGACATTGGGGTGCTGGCTGCATGCTGCGCTATTTGCTGGCTGGCGCCTACACTCTCACGGGCGAGCAAGGAAGGAGCACGCAACCATAGTCGAGCTGCGCTGCTGTAAGCTGGGTGAGGCGCAGGGTGGTCCTTGGGTGCTAGTGGCATCTGTGAGTTGGGGGACGAGGTTTCTTAGTGTAGCGCGAGACATACTTGGTGCTGAAAGCGTGCGACATTGGTCGCCGTATGCTCGTACTTCGGGAATGCTGTTGATGTCATCTTTCGACTTTTTAGTATAGGCTAGATAGGATCTCAGACTGCCACATGTAGTCTGGGCGCCGAGCGCCAGATATCTTCATTGCATGCTGTTCTATGTGCTCTCTCTCTTTCTCTCTCTCTCTCTCTCTCTCTCTCTCTCTGTGTGTGTGTGTGTGTGTGTGTGTGTGTGTGTGTGTGTGTGT